CAATACGGATAATCTAAATCCCGTATGTAGTTCACGTTTTTCTCTATTATTTATAATATTCCATTTTTAAAGCAATGGTGAGGTTTAAAAATCCCATGAGAAAAATATTAGACACCATATAATATATTCTTCAACACATGCAAATGTCAACTCTTGTTCAGAATAAAATTAAAAATCCAATTTCCAGTGCACATATTCACACACAAACCACATATTATAAACAACTGTTGTCATAGATAAAGCTGGCACTTGGATATTTGGCAGCTTGCCACTACAACCTACCCAAATAATTAATATTAAATAATAATAATAATAAATAAATAATAAATAAAACAGAAAGAAAAAAAAAACCAAGAGGAAGCAAATATAGACCATCAAACGAGGTGGCATATAATCTCAATAAGATAAGATTTTCTTCTTTTCTTTTTTGTTGAAAAAGCAATCCACATCAATGAATAAATTTGCTTATCGTACAATAACCAGCAAATCATAAGATACGATAATTGCGCCGACTTTTTAACGTACAAATCTTAAAAAACTTTGATTTGTTTTTGTATTTTGTATTTTGTCAGTATTCCAAGATAATTAAATTATTATACTTAAACCACTATAAATTAATACAATTAGGATCAATGAAACTAATAATTAAATATGTTTACACCTGAGTTGTGACCGAGATATATTATTATTTGAACGAAGTTAATAATATATCTGAACCCACAATAATACTCCAATTTATACACTTATATATATTGTTTTCGAGTCATTGTTGATGGTAGTGACTAGTGAGCGATTATATCATTAGAGAAAGTGGCATCCACGCGCGATGGTGAAGTGCATGCGTGCGTGTGTGTGTGTGTGTGTGTGAGAGAGAGAAAGATAGAGATATATATATTGTTGTGTTTGGAATTTAGATATATGGGGTGGTGAGTGTTTTAATTAATTTGGTCACAAATATCCAACAGGGACCTCTTTGAAAGTGAAAGCCCTGTATGCCCTTTTTCTTACTATATATAAATTGGTATCTTCATCACCTGCACAACATATAATTATCAAAAAAAACATATAACTATAGTTATAAGTTTCTCTCACTAGAAATACATACACACACCAAACCAATTGTGTGTGTGTTTCTGTGAAAGAAGAAAAAAATGGAGTTGAAGGGAGAAAACCAAAAGCATAATTCTGATCAAGAAGATGAGATCACTACCGTTGATTGGAGAGGCCGTCCTTCCAACCCTCTCAAGCATGGCGGAATGAGAGCTTCTGCTTTTGTTCTAGGTTTCTCTCTCTCTAGATCTCTCTCTCTCTCTCTCTCTATAGATTTCTCTCTCTCTCTCTCTCTAGATTTCTCATACTATAATATTGTATTGGCAGGGCTGCAAGGATTTGAGATAATGGGGATAGCAGCGGTGGGGAACAATCTGATAACATACGTAATAAACGAGATGCATTTTTCTTTACCGAAATCCGCAAACACCGTCACCAACTTCATCGGAACCGTTTTCATCCTCGCACTCCTCGGCGGCCACCTCTCCGACTCGTATCTCGGCTGCTTCTGGACCATGCTCATATTCGGCTTCATCGAACTCTCCGTACACCCCCCTCTCTCTCTCTCCACTTTCTCTCTCCTCTTTGATCAGTTTTCATCGCCTTAAACTTTTAGTTGAGATAGTCATTCAATATAATATCAGCCAGCCTCATCAATATTCCCAAGTGCAAAAGGCTTGAAATGTAAATTTACATTGAAGCCCACTTGAAGCTGGCGGTCGTATTAGAAATATTAATGTTAAATGATATATCTCACTGACTCAACTTAATCTTTTGGTTGAGTTGGTGGTTCATTCACACATGCGTGTAGTACCGGAGATAATTAATATTGATACATTTCAGTTCACTGACAGCTTAAACTTTTGATTGTTATACATAAATATTAATACAGGGTTTCATCCTGCTATCGGTGCAAGCGCATCTTCCACAACTGAAACCGCCGCCGTGCGGCGAGAACGAGTTGTGCGTGGAGGCGAAGGGTTTAAAGGCGCTGATATTCTTCGTGGCGCTCTATTTGGTGGCGTTGGGGAGCGGGTGCGTGAAACCGAACATGATAGCGCACGGCGCGGATCAGTTCAGACAGGACGATCCGAAAGAGTCGAAGAAGCTGTCGAAATACTTCAACGCCGCGTATTTTGCGTTTTCGATGGGCGAACTTATTGCGCTGACGGTTCTTGTTTACGTGCAAACGCACTCCGGTATGGACGTTGGTTTCGGCGTGTCGGCTGCCGCCATGGCCGTAGGGTTGATAAGCTTGATCTGTGGTACGGTTCTATACCGGAATAAGCCTCCTCGAGGAAGTATTTTGACCCCTATTGCACAAGTAAGAAACAATTTTTATTTTTTTATTTTTCAATTTTTAATTTTTTTAATTTTTTAATTTTTAAATTTTTTTCCTTTTTTCAATAAAATAAGGTTTTTTTGTGTACATGTTGATGCAAGTAGTGGTGCCTTTGTGACTCATGTTCTTGAAAAAAGTTTGTTTTCTTTTACAATTAAATGTGCCCAGATTATATTACAAGATTCAAGATTATGTCGGAAGATTTTGCATCTTTTGCTAATCACTCATATTTAATTTTCATTTTTTTTTATTACTTTTAATTAATTAATTAATTTTTTATTTTTTTCTTTTATATGTCAGGTGTTTGTGGCAGCAACTTTAAATAGAAAGCAAATTTGTCCTTCTGATCCCTCCAAAGAGCAGCTGCATGCTAATACAGACAACCCCATTTCTGACAATTTTGTCAATCCTCAACTCTCTCAAAGATTCAGGTAATTAAAAAAAAATGGTAAATTACAAAAAAAAATAAAAATGAACTTGTGCTAAATTACGAAAAACACCCTCAGCTATTTGTAATTACCAAAATCCCTCCATGTTTATTCCAATATTACAAAACCGTCTTACGATGTGATCTTTCAAGAAATCTTTTTTATTACAGGGAATATTCCCTGAAAAATATCGATTTTACCCATGCAGACGTCAGATTTCATTATGCTATTTTTGAGAGATAAAAATTACCTTCTTGGGGCCTTTAAACGGAATATTTATTACCGGCCATTACCCCTTTGTTTAACCTTTAAAAGTAGCTAAAAAGAAATTCCACGTCTGCAGGGGTATAATTAGTATTTTTTGAAAAATATTCCCTGAACTCAAAAAGATTCAGCCAAAAATCGCATTGTAAGGGGGTCGATGTAAGACGGAAACGAATTTCGGGGGATTTTAGTAATTACGGATAAGTGAGGGTATTTTTCGTAATTTGGCCTAAGTTCAGGGTTTTTTTTTTCATAATTTACGCTTACAAAAACACATATATATTTTCTAATAATTTATTTTTGCATACATAATCAAAACATTTTTTTTTTTTTTTGAATTAATCTCAGATTCTTGAACAAGGCTTGCATCAAGATTGATCCAATTCAAGAAAATGGAAGAAACAAAAGGCAAAGCCCATGGAGATTGTGCACACCAAACCAAGTGGAACAAGTCAAAACCCTAATCTCAATAATCCCAATATTTGCATGCACAATAATATTCAACACAATATTAGCACAACTCCAAACATTCTCAGTCCAACAAGGCAGCTCAATGAACACACACTTAACCAAAAACTTCCACATACCACCAGCCTCCCTCCAATCAATCCCTTACATCATGCTCGTATTCATCGTACCGCTCTACGACACTTTCTTCGTACCTTTCGCCCGTAAGTTCACCGGCCATACCTCCGGGATCGCCCCTCTCCACCGCATAGGCGTCGGCCTTTGCCTCGCGACTCTCTCCATGGTCTCCGCGGCCCTCATGGAGAAAAAGAGACGGGACGCGTATTTGCACTCGGGCGAGATAGTTTCGATATTTTGGATCACGCCTCAATTCTTGATATTCGGGGTATCGGAGATGTTCACTGCGGTCGGATTGATCGAGTTTTTCTACAAGCAAGATTTGAAGGGCATGCAGTCGTTTCTGACGGCGATTACTTATTGCTCGTACTCGTTCGGATTCTTTTTTAGCTCGGTTCTCGTTTCGCTTGTGAATAAGGTTACGTCGTCGTCGTCCGGTGGTCGAGGGTGGTTGGGGGATAATGATTTGAGTAAAGATAGGTTGGATTTGTTTTATTGGCTCTTGGCGGTTTTGAGCTTCGTCAACTTCTTCAATTATTTGTTTTGGGCGAGGTGGTGTTCGAGAAATAATAATCGATCCCCGGCGGCGGCGGCACCACCACCGGGAAAAGTCGACGGTGGTGACATTGTATGATTAATGTTTTCTTTTGTTTTGAGAAAAAAAAAGGAGGGAAATGATGTAGGGATAATTAATTAAATATGGTGTTTTATATGAATGTACATAAAATTAAATGGATGTGATTAATTAATTTGCTATTATAATCTACTTATTTAATTCCCTTTTTTTTTTGGTCCTTGATGTATGAAGATCCATTGTATTTAATTATTCTTATTAGTACTGCATCAAAGTCAATAATAATAGCTTTACCACAGAACATGTGCAAGCAGTACTACTATATGACTATAGCCAGTAGATATGTAGATAGTGCCTTAACTTTTTATGTAGCTTTTATATATATATATATATATATATATATATATTAAACTACGACCAGTCCTGAGACAAGGTTAAATTACAAAAAAAAATTCTCTTGTTTGCGTAATTACAACTACTCCTCAACTACGAATTTTCTTGCACGTAGACCTTTGTGGTGTCAAGTTTAGTGGAATCTTCTACGTTATGTGGAATATTCTCCAGTTTGTACCCGTTTCACCACATTTGAGCTCTGCATTCTGAAACAAACAAGATGATCATTATAAGATGTGTCTCTTGCCTTGTAAATGTAATATCAGATTGTGGTGCATTAGAAACTGCATTTTTGCACAAAACGAGAACAAACTAGAGAATACTCAATGGAATCTAGAAAATTCTGTTGAATTTGACACCATAATGGTGGACGTAAAAGATGATTAATAGTTGAGGGCTGGTTGTAATTATCCAAACAATTTGGACTTTTCTGTAATATATATACATATACTGATATACATATATAGTAGTGACCGGTAGTGCAGCTACTGTGAGAGTTGATGCATAATCAATCACAGAACATAATGAAAAGCAGAGCTACTGAACAAAAGGCAATAGAAGAAGAAGAAGAAACTCTCTTTTACAAACAGAGTCATCCATTATTTTTCTCCTTTAATTTTCATTTTCTTTTTCTTTTTTTTTTTCAATCTAGGCCCCCCGCCCCCCATTCTCTTAGGCTGACACCCAACCTCTATGTAATATTTTCATACAAAGTGACAACGGCCCAAAAGTTGTCTAGTCGAGAAAAAGGGAAAAATATAATTTTCGTTTATGAAGATTACCTCGATTGTTTTACCAATTTAACACTTTTGGTTATTTTCGTCAATTTAACGTTAGGCCGTCAGTTAAGATTGATTCCGTTAGTACTAACAGAAAATTGACAGAAATGACCAAAAGTGTTGAAACACGAGGGACTAAATATGTCATCTGTGAATAATGAAGACCAAAAATGTATTTTTCACTCAGAGAAAAATATAAAGACTGAAAAGCCATCCATTATTTAAGCTCAAGAGGAGTGTAACCAAACGGATCTGATCGGAATTAGCACTTTCGAAAAAAAAAATTGAAATTGGAGTAAAAATAACTCCATTCCAAAATTGAAAATTTTCGGATCAGAATTAGCAAAACTCAATTAGAAAAGCTAAAAAAGAGGGACATGTCTGAAACATGTCGGAATGAAAGAAGCCCCCCAATCCCCATAGTAAGAAAAAAACACGAGTGGATGAATGGTGTTGATTGTGTTGGATAAAACAAGTGCACAAATTAATGGACCCTCCATATATCTCCATGCAAATTTATATATATATATATATATATATGGGTAAATTACAAATACCCCCTGAGGTATGGCCAAATTACAAAAACACCCCTCTTGTTTGGATAATTACAACCACCCCCTCAACTCATCAAATTTAGTGGAATCTTCGAGATTATATGGAATATTATCACTTTTGTACCCGTTTTATCCCATTCAAACTCTACATTATGAAGCAAGATGACCATAATATGTGATTTTAAGCTTGTATATATCAGTTTGTGGTGTATCGAAAACTGTATTTTTTACACGAAAAGAGTACAAACTAGAGCACATTTCATGGAATCTAGATGATTATGTTGAATTTGGCACCATAAAGGTGGAGGTCTAAGAAAAAATCATAGTTGAGGGGGGTAGATGTAATTATCCAAACAAGAGGGGGGTTTTTGTAATTTGACCATACCTCAGGGGGGTGTTTGTAATTTACCCATATATATATATATACCATTTTTATTTTATTTAATTTATTTAATTTATTGCTGTTTAGAGAAGAAGCTGCTTTATTACATCCATCCTTCAATCGTGGGGGGGGGGGAGATGATGAATTGATGATGATAGCTTAGCCGACAAGTTTAGCTAGGTTAGCTTATTGTAACAGTGCATGCACGTAACTACTTTTTTTTTTTTTTTTTTAATTTGACTATACCAAATAATTAAAATTTATTCAAACCCTAGTTTGTGCATGTGATTTGCACTGATGGTACTAGAAAGTAGAACCTCCAACTTTGTTTCTTTTTCTGCATAGTCTCAATTAAATGATATATCAAACGCATTTTATTTTATTGCAATAAATTACACAAAAGTCTAATCTAAAGGATGTGTAATTAATTAAGTGTAATTTGTACATTTAATACACCTCCTCAATATTAATTCAACAAAAAATTATACATAGGGTTTTAACGAAATCATGGATTAAGAGTTTACCTACTCGTATGTTTTTTGAATAAAAACAATAAGAATAGTAAAGATACATGGGTTTGGGAAAGAAGAATAAAAGAGAAACTATGATGAAGAATCGTCGAATTAGCTTCGTCGTCGTTTGCTCCATCCCCTCGCTCTTTTTGCTCCAAGTTTTCTCCTAATTTTCGTGCAATCAAAGGCTAAATGAAAGAACTCCGCATCTCCAATGCACAATCAAGATTCTAGTGGTATATGTGTTAGATGGATAGGCTTGAAACAACACTCCATGGGATTATTTTTTTGACTTCTTTTATATATTATTTCAACGTTAAGAAAATAAGAATTACAACCACCCCTGAGAATATTCTAAAATTGAGAATATTCCATATAATCTAGAAGATTCCACTAAATTTGAAACCGCAATGGTGGACGTGTAAAAAGATTTATAGTTCAGGGATGGTTGTAATTACCCAAACATGAGGGGGTTTTCGTAATTTGACCATACCTCAGGGGGTGGTTGTAATTTACCCTATTTATAATTTTTTTTTTTTTATCAAAAAAAGTCGGTTGGCCGATATTAACCGACCAAACGACTTTTTCAGTAAACTAAAAATCACCGACCAACCCATTTACATATGGGTCAGTTAAAATTACCGACCCAACAATAAAATTATATACCAATAAAATTGGGTTGTAAGTGATCCAGTTGGCCGATAAAATCGATACATGTCCAGCCCTAGAAATAATTATGAAGATTAGATGGGAAGGATGTTTTTCTCATTAATATAGAGACATAAACTGCGGTGAAGTTACTATGAGTTCATAATCATTTAACCTAAGAAAGGAGATGTTGTAACATATCTTTCATGAAGATGGTTTTCATAGAAAGTCGAGGGTACAAATGACCGACGGTGATAGGACACCGTCGTCTATTAGTTGAATTTAATCATAAAAGCGAAGTTTTTCCGAAAATGATTTTTTTAGTTAAAACATAGAACAATGCATCTACACGACAAGTAACCTTAAAAATAACCAATAACATTAATGGAATTCAATTAAAAATCGCATCTTCTCCAAATTTACAACATAGCATCAGCCAATGGAATCGAAAAACAGAGCATCTGGAAAAAGGATGCTGTACAAGTTGGTTCGGTTCACTCACTAGTCCGGCACGGCATTCTGTTCGGTATATTACTCCCATTTAACCCCTTTTTTTTCCATCACTATAAAAACATTTCCGGTCCCATTTAAATATCAAAAACATGTTTAACAACAAGGTTCCAGAACATCAAAACAACTCTCACTCGTTTCTGATAGAAGAGTATTTCTCCGATAGTGTGTGGGATTTCGCAATTTCACTCATGAGATTCTTGAACTTGTGACTACAATCTCCTCCACTGCAAATGCCGAGTAGAAAAGAGAAAAAAACGAAAGTTATAATATTTTATTTCAAAATTCCCAACAGAATATATATATATATATATATTCATCTAAAACCTTATTATACATACCTTATACGATTCAAGGATGCAATTGCACGGAGGGCACTCCGGATCATGTCTTCGTTACGGTCAATTTCTTGCTTGACTGCATCTTGCTTGGGCCTAAAATTGATGGTTTTCTGGAGAGGGTCCACCAAAGAATCCAATACTGGAAGTGCAAATATTTGATGAAAATTGCATTAATATCTATGTATAATGTTAAGTTCGGTCGAAATACTAGGATTATCTGCAATAATAAGATTAATGACAAGGAAATACCTGCCAACACAGCGGATGGACACTTGTCGGATAACTTCGAAAGGATAAGATGACATGGCATTTTAACATCATAGTGATCTGGAATTTAAGAAAATGTAAGTGACCGTCCAGCAATAAAACTCTTCACGAAATTACCAGAAATTATTATAGATAGTGAAAGATGGTAAGAAACTAATGCGCCGCAGATCGACTCACCATCTAAACCAGATAAAAGGAATGGAACAATAAAAGACGATGGATTCACTTGATCAAGACAGCTGTCCAACAAAGTGTCGACGCATTCAAAAGCGGCTTTCCTCAATTCAAGCCCGTCGTCTACTGTGTGCTTGAACGGACCTAAATCCACTGTCCTGATCAATTCTTTCTGCAAAGAGAAAATTGACAAACGGGATTATGTTAATGAAGGAGACTTTCGGTTAGCATCGTACTAAAGCAGGAACTTTCTTAGTATCATAATAAACTGATATGTATGATAAATCGAGAAGATAGTTACCTTTATAACTGTTTGGTCATAAAGAAGTGGCAATAGTTCTGGAAGCAGGCCCTTTATCAGGATAGGCTTGTTATGAGCTGCAGTACTCAAGGCCAATACAGAGGCACGCCTCACATGCTGCTCAGAAACCAATAAACCGTGTAAATTGAATTTAATGTCGAGCAAACAAAAAATAGACATGCAACGCTATTTTAATCTTATTTCGTTAAGACGTTGCTTAAACTGAATTGATTCTTAAAAGCAATTAGGAAATTATTACCCGATCATGATCCCTGATAAGCATCAAGAAAGATGAAATCTCGGGGTACAAAATTTCATCTATTTTCTCTTGCCGCTCAACAATAGAATATTTCACCGCAATTACAACTGTTGCTCGGGTGAAAGCTGCAGGATTGGATATCCTCTCCTACAATTGTGTTGAAACATATCATGTCCGTAAAAATAAATATAACATGTTCAAATAAAAACTGCACATATCACATTCTAAAAAGATACCTTGAGTGCAGGAACAAGTTTCCCAGGTTCAATAAGGGCAATTTTTCCCAAACACTCGGCTACCACATTGCGAACTCCTTCCTCCTCACTTTCACAGTGATTAAAGAGCAAACTAGTGATCTTTTCGACACTAGAATTGTCAAATTCTGCTTTCTCAACAGATTGTCTTACAATGACCTGTAAGAAGAGTGAGTATCCAGAAAGTAAGGTAGAGTTATTAGGCAATGCTGATTAAACATAATTCTCTAAAACGCGTAACTGTACAAGGAACGCACCTCCTTCAGGGAATGAAGCAACAGGTATTGCTTTTTCTGTTGATTATCAATTTTGTCCAAGATAAATGGCAAATACTTTGGTAAATTGCCAACAGCAATATTTCCTAGTGCATAAGACGCAGCAGATTTTATTTCTTCGAAAGGTGACTGGAAGGAGTCGATAACAATATTCTCGATATGGTCATGAGAGCTCAGATCTTTTCTCCTGCCGATCTCCCCCAAGCACAGCAGGGAAAGATGTTGCTTGGCCTATGGGAAAGAAAATGAATAAAATAAGAACAATGGAGGTAATAAAACAGAACTGGTTGACCCGATTTACAAAATGCGCAAGATAAAGATTAAAGCGTCTAACATCATTTCCACAATTACTACAAGAATAGATGATTATTGATTAGTGATTCAAAGTGGCGTTCAAGAAGCCAAAAACATTTCCGAATCATAATAACTGCAAGTATTTGCTTGAATGCCAATATAATTTATTCCTGGTCAACAAGGGACAAGTAGGAATGTATATGTGTACTAGCAATTAAATATCGAAGCCAAGGCATCCACAGACATCAGTAGATGGCATACCGAATTGGTGCTGCTATCAGCTTTCAGGATATCTGTAAGCATAGCTACGGTAGAGGAACACTTTTTATCGCCTGCAGCAAGGCAGAGGACAGCCACACATTGCGCAATGGAGAATAAAGCTTGTTTCGCAACAGCACCAGACTGGGCTGATGGTTTTGCAGTTGAAAGCAGTGAGTCCAGCAGGACGTCAAAGCTCGTGTTTGCTGAATAAACCAGGGCACCAAAGAAGTTCTGCAGTGCCTGTGATTTCCGAAGATGAGGTCATATTAAAGCGAACAATCTCTATAGCATCTATTATTAACCAATTAATCATAATTATAGTACCAGAAGGGCTTGCCCCTGAAGCAGTGAGCTTCCGATTAGAGTCAGTGCTTGGGGCAAAACTTTGTTTCTGACAGTCAAACCAACATTTGGACCAGATCTTTTATCAGCCATTAATGTACAGCATAATTCCAGAGCTAGAGCAGCCATATGCAAGTCCGAGTCACTGAAAAGCAGTACGAATAATTAGTATTAAAAAATAACCCAAGAGATCACATATATTTATCAATTATCATGCAAAATTATACGTCTGCCGTAGTTTCATTTAACCTTATCAGAGTTGAAAGTTCAACAACAATGACTTCGTAAGCAGCTGGACCAATTTTATCACCATAGCCAACAATTAGTGTGTTTAGCGTCCCTAGGGTAGCCTGTCTTAATGCTCGATTGGCCTATTATCGAGAAAAAGGTGAAAGCAGTTCAGTAGATTATATCAAGTCATCAGGGTATCAAAAATTATGCAAAGGATGTAGGGAGGACAGCAAGTCATACCTTACGCAGGAATGCAGTCAGCTCCGAAATTACATGTTCTAAAATGCAAGATAGATCGAGGTGCAGGGGAGAAGCGGCAATAACAGCAAAAGCCTGGAAGAAGCAATAGTTAAAAGCTTGAACATCAGACTGTAAATAATTGAACTGTTTTATGAAACTACAAGATACATATTTGTCCTTATTTTTCCATCAGGAATAGTACACAAACAAACTCAAGAAAATGGATTCCTGACATGTTAGAGCTGCATAAAATTTGTTCTAAATACAAGTTTCGATCTTATCTCACAAGTCCCTCATAAGATTAAGTTACAAAGAAATTATGACCATATGCAAGCTACTTCTAGTGCTCCAAACAACAGATAGCCTTAATCATTTCTTCAATCATTTAATTAACTGAAATTAGTTGATACTCTATATCTCTGAAGCCCTGATAAACGCAGGCTAAGAAGAACAGAAAACAAATTCAACTTGATCATCAACACTACAAAGAATTTGGTCATCACGAATAAATTCATCATGCTCTTCATGTGGGGTCTTTATGATCAATGCTTAATAACACTAACATCATCCTTTTAACAACTGCGTCCTTTTAACAAACGTGTGTGCTGGAGATAAAAGCAGAAATTCCAGCATTTATTTGTTTTTTGACATTGCAAAATGTGAAACAAGAACCACGAATGAACTAAGAAGAAAACTCCCAAGGAAAAAAAACTTTACAAACCTTCACAGCTGTAAGACGAGTTATCTCATTTCCCATTCGATCCACAAGCACAGGAAGGCATGCAGGTAGTTCCCCCACAAGATGATCACCAAATGTAGAAACCACAAGCCCCATACAAGAAATGGCGCATTCTTTCACTTCCTGCGAGTGTGAAGATCAGTAAGGCATGAAAGTAAAAAGAGAACAAGATTTCAACACAAACAATTTGCTAACCTGATCTTGATCTTGGTTTGTCAAGCGTGACATGATGGCTTTGTATATAGGACGGACATAGGGTTTGAAGTCAAAACCATGATCCTGGACAACAAAATCGTATTTAACTTTGCACAAAGGGGACTCACAATACTAGAAACCAAATAAAATTTAGACATGTGGCAGCAGACCTCAATATTTGGTCGAACAACACGAACAAGTTCTCCACAGACTCTTAATGCCTCTGCAGTAACTTTGTAATACCTTTCACCGACAGAAGATATAACTGGGGCTGAAATCGCCTAAGATAAACAGGAGTAACCATCAGTACAGAACCAAGAGAATCTTTTGACATGGATTAGCAAATGTGTTTTAATGATGGACCTTCATTTGTACAAGATTTATAAAAGCTGAATGTTGTAGGACAGTAGACAATCACTAGCAACTAATCCATAATCAACAGATAATCTAACTCACAATCGAATGCATCAGACAAAGATTAAGTAATACTTTTCCTTCTTCCAATCATTGTTGGTCTATGAGCATGAATATTTTTTGAAGTATTCTAGTGCGTGTTTATACGAATGTTCATTGAACTGAATAACAGCATTGACTAGCTTCTGGGAAAGAATTATGAGCCCACCATCTTGGATTGGACAGGAAATACAATGCAATCCTAAAATTCAAGCAAACTAGAAAAAGCTTTTGCGCACTACAGTCTACCAGTGTACCCTGATGACAATAACTGTAGATTTTGTAACAAATTTTGAATTAAGAAACTTCTCGGCACACGAACAAATATTCAATAGCAGTTATACATAATTCTCAAGCTTGATTGACCTGGAACTAAGCTAATTATTAATCTTTTGCCTGTTATCTCATTTCTTGATAGCAGTATTCTCCATTTGCAGATTGAATAAACTTTCTATGAAATTAAAACACCAAGGGTCCTGGAAACTACTCCACCAGGTCTATTAGTTACAAGAAATAGTCTATCTTACAGTAGAGTGCAGCAAAATCCTCTCACGTGTCTATTAACAAACAAGATATACAAATGTGAACACCCTAAATGGTCAAATGTTTACAATCAATAAACCTATGGGGAATCCTTCTAACACTGATCTTCCCAGGATAACAGATTGAACAAGGAAAGAAGTTAATTTAGTAATGACTAATGACATGTCCTCTACAAAAATTTCCAGAACATACAGACTTGCAAAAAGTGGATAACCTATATAAATAGGAAAAAAAATGACTAGCCAATACCTTGATGTAGGGATGGAAAACAGAAGGAGCATGTGAGACTAACACTAATCTCGTAAAAACAAGCGCCTCAATCTTTAAATTTGAGGTAGATGATTTGTCCTGTATAGAGGTAAATTGAAAAATATAATACTTCTAAGAACATGGACAATAACAAAACTGACATGGGAAAGAGTAATAGAGCAGAACATACACAAAGTGCTTTCTCGATTCCAGGAGTAAGAGATCCAATGTGGTCCGCAAGGCAATCAGGTAAAACAATTACCAGCTCTTTCAAAACTGAGAAGGCCCCAACCTGTAAGACATGAATAAAACAATAAATTGGAAGCTCGGAAGTTAACATAACAGCATATTTGTAACAACTTTCTACCTTTGTCTTGATAGATTTTTCACGTAGCTGCTTATTTACAGCACGAATAATCTTTGGAACCTCTTGCTTCAATAGGTATCTGGGACTGCACAAGTTACATGATAAAAAAATAAGATAAAACAGAAAATTTACAAATCTTGGCAATACTGTGCAAGTAATATTCATATAACTAGATTAAGTACGACCCATACAGAGTTTACACAAGGTTATGCTAGCCCAATACATCATTTTTTTGGGCCTAACTTTTCAAGGTGACTCATCAGATTAATCAAGAAATGTCGGTTGACAGACCAGGTGACACACAACAACATATTAACTGTCTAGAGCCTTGTTATCAAAAGACAACAGCCCAGTTTTAAGTAATTCCAAATAACTTAAATGCTTCTCGATCAGCTCTTTCATTTAATAATGATGCATTCATGGTCATTTTTCGCCTAGAAACTGCCATATTTACATACCAAAGTGCACAACACAATAAGGGATTATGTAGTATGAGTTTCAAGAGTGACTATTACTAAAAGAAATAATGGTTTGCAGAAACCTATCAAGTACATATTGTGAAATGATTTAATTTTATGACATGGGCTCCACAACAGCATTCCTCAAATTCAAAGCTTAGAACACCATAAGAATAATAGATAATAGCTACAAGCATATCTCAAAAATCAGGCTGGGAGAATAAGAACTAGCCTTGATTCATCAAAATCAGTCTGGCCTTTTGTAACATTTCCTGTTTGTCTGAGTAGCTCAACAAATGTATTGAAGACGTCCATCTGCAGGACATCAAGTCAGTTAATAAATCGAGGAGAAATCTTACAATTATATAAGGACCAGTCGATTTGTTCCTTCATACCTTGACGTTCTCTTCCCTTTCTTTAAACCTATCAATCAACTTTGGGCAAGCCTGAAAGAGAGATTTTATCCTTTGCCTAGTCAGCTTACTCTATTTAGCTTAAAACAAAAGAAAAACTGAATAAAGAACAAAAGGTAATTATTTTCGTAAAACAACTCCTTCTCAATCACGTTCCATGTCTCAGAAATTATCAATAACTAGTTCCAAAACAGAAATAAACAAAGAAGCTCTGAAATCTAGCATTCAATAACTAAGTTCAATATTCGAGAATGAAAGTCTAGTATAAGTAAATGAACTTTTAGTTAAGAAACCTATACGTTGCTTTATAATATATTCCTTCTTGCCACTAAAATTTGCTAATCATTCATATCATAAAACATATATATTGTAAAAAAGTTGTCTTTCTAATTGCTGCTGCATTAACAACATTTTATAGTTAATGCAGATATATTCCCCGCCTATATCGTTGCTATATTATTGAATGAACGCACTCTCTTATGTAGAGAGGTAGAAGAGTCAAAACGATGAATAATTATTTCCAAAGATAGTCACAAACAAACTACTAAAGAAAGACAAATTTGTACCCTAAATATCTTCTAACAGGTGTTTTTTAAAAGCCCTATTTTTTAAGCAAACTGTATGGAGGATTTTATTGGTCCTTGATGGCACTAAGATTAGTAATATCATCCATATTATTGAAAAACAATAAAATGCATAGGGATAAGAAACCAGAGATGTCTAGAATTGGTAATATTAAAAAATTATCATGGTATACCTCTTCATATAGCCTGGAGAGCATCTCAGACCGAGAAACAATTAATGCGGCTAAGCATTTGGCAGCAGCTCTCCGAACTTTCCAACTGACATCTTCATCATCTGTGTACTCATTAGCGCTCTCACTACAGCCAAATAATAATATGTTACCAAAAAATTCCCCAGTATAAAACCCCATTAACAAATAAATGATGAGTTCACAACATACTCATCTTCCTCTTCTGCATAACTCTCATCATCCGTGTCTTCCTCCATGTTATCAGTGAAATTCGGATCATGGCTAAGAAATTCCAAAGTGAGATGTAAAATTTGGTTGCAGTGGGGAGAAATATCCCTGGGACACCTCAGCAAAAAGCTTTCTAAGGCCTGAAACAGAAAATATATAAAATATAAACCCTGAGGAATAAAATCCAAGAATCAAATAAAATAAAAGTTGAATCCAAAACCAAGGCAGCAATACAATGATCATATCCAAACTGATTTAGAAAAAAATAACAGAGAAATAAATTTACCTGCAAGCTATACTCACGAAGCTCTTCATCATTCTCAGAAGCATTCTTACAGTAGTTGATTAGAATTGGAACTGCATCTCCAAGATGCGGACCAAAGCGGTAGCCAACAGCACGGCTTAAAAAACAAAAATCAACAGGTCATTTCTTAGAAAATTCTCTTTGATGGATAACATATAGCAAAAGGTCCCATGTTAAAAATATATTGCAGGTCTTGGGCAAGCATATACAGGGATCCTAGTTGACAACAACAAAAAATCCTTTTAAACTAGCTGGGATTTTTTTTAATCTGTTTCAACTTCCTTGGTGCATTTGGTTGGTGGTCCCAGCTTCCAAAACACATTGGTAGGGTCACTCAAGCCCACTAATCTAACGTACAGACATCCTCTAAACTTTTTGAATTTGTCAAGCTAAAGTCGTGAGCAATTAGACTCGAGTATCCATTATCCAGGCATATTTGACAGATTACTTCAGCACTAGTTTTTATAGAGATCGACTGGGTCCATGGACTTCTGAGTTATAACAGTACTTGAAGTGAAAACGTAAGTGATTGGGTAATTACCTCTCTCAAACTTACATAGGATTACATATTGTCAAGAATTCAAAACATTAGAAACCCGCAATATTAAGTAAACTAAGTCAGCAAAACAATCCTAATGGATATACTGCAGACAAATAATAATCAATCCTTAAGCATGAGTGGGTGTAATTAATAAGAGTCTGGAAATCCCAAATTACAAAAGTATTTAATGCATAGAAACCAAAAATGACATCATACACATATAATCTAGCAGAATACACGGTAAAAATTCTTGAACCAGCAAAGTAAATATAGACACATGTAGCATTCTTTCAAGAAACCTAACTCGAAAAATTACCTTAAAGCCCCTATCATCTGAATGTTTGTTCGTGTAGTTTCAGATTTTATCGCAGGATTTCTTAAAAGCCGAACAACTTCAATGGTAGCCTTTGCCAGCAAATCATCTGACAAACTCGACGCGAGAGATGCTGCAGCAGAAATTCTAAATTAAACCATCTCATAGGATTCATCAGGTCAATTAACACAAAGAAGAAAGGCAAGACAGTCTCCAGAATTTTTTGATTCAGTTAGTCATACCAATACATGAAACGGCCCTCTTTCTGACACTTGCTTGATTAATACTCAACTGGGGCAACAATGCACCTAATAATACCTCATGATCTGATACCAGTAGGTTACCATATTTGTGCAGTACATCACAAAGAATATCAAGAGATTCACATTTGATTTCTGTGCTCATTCCCTAGGTAATGTAAAACAAAATATGAGTTTGACAATATAAGGAGACAAAAAAAACAAATTGTGATATATATATATATATATATATATATATATATATATATATATATACTGCGCAAAGACATGAAAAATAAGAATTAATCAATATATTAACACCAAAAACAATAAAGCTATTGAAATTTAATGCATCGTGACGAATAAGAGACAGATGGAAAAGCGCAAAAGCTTTCATAATGAAGCTTCCTAAGAATTGAAAAGAAAAATCTTAACATGATTCTGTCTAATGAGCTGCAATCAGCAATATAAAGGCAATCCCCTTTCCAAGATTAATATATTGCATTCGAATTCACAAATGCTAAAACTATAACCCCTAGTTCCAACTTAGAAGCCAGATTATGTAATGTTCGATCCATTTTCCGACGTCAATTAAAACAAACAAGATTTTCTATTGATGCTGTCCTGAACCGAATAGGATTAATCATGTAGCTAATGCCCCAAAACTGATATAGTCTCTTGTTGAGATCTCATAGTTCAACAGTCACTCAAGATACACTTTAAATGAATACTTCATAGAAGACAAACTACAGGCAAATGATGAGCTTGAGAAACAAATATATTCACCAACACTAGTGATGAACTCAATTCTTCGACCCTATGGACTTCAAATATAAGCTCACCAAATGCATCTGATGAAAACACGAGTTGAACAGGACAATTTCACAACCAAGCAAATAACCTTACCAAAGAATGATATAAGTATTCATCAGAAACATAAAAATCAAAAGGACCATTCATATTCAGTTGGTAAAAATAGGTATCGTAACTCATGATGGAATATTACAGAAACCAGGCATTGTGTTATCATTAGTTTCAGGATTCAGGAGGGAAAAGAAACTGAAGATACCAGTTATTTAAGTAACTTAGCTTTCTTCGATTATTAAACAAATATCACATGTAACTACCTAATGAGGACAAAAGGTACACTCGATATAGGGCCATCAAGTTACTGATTTTACTAAACGTACCCACAGTTCAAAATGACGGGATTCGCTTTACAAACGTTACAAGGTATTTAACTAATCGACTAGAAGTAAAAAATATAAAAACATACTGGACTCACCTGTGTCGTTATTCCTCGTATCAACTTCGGTGAAATAGATACAAGAACAGACTGTGCAACAGAAGAGGTAGGAACTTCAGCAACAATTGTCTTCAGAGCAATGCTCGCAATGTCCCGGTTCTGCTCTTTCCCGTTAAGCAACTTATCACAAAGCTTGTTAGTCATTTCAAGAACCTGCTGCTCACGAACTTTCTTCACCAATGGAGCGAGACTAGATTACGTCAAAGCAAAACAATATATAATCAGAACACAGTGCCGATATACTGGGGGAACTTTCAACTTAAAACAAACCAATTTTTTTTTTTTTTACTGAATGTCAGTTAAGGGTGGTATTGTTAAGAGATTGTCATTGTATTCAGATACTCCGAAGACAAAGCAAGAAAGCGACCACTAAGCAGCAAGAATTAACAACAATTGCATAATTCCTAAAGAGGGTTGTAAACTCTAATAAAATAAGGGACCCGAAAATTTTTTACGAAGGAACGAAGAAAGCTAAAAAGCAATGGAGTAAAAAATAAAGGAGCAGAATGAAATAAAGGAGCAGACCACTTGACAGCTAGTCCAGAAACATCGCCAGCAGCATCGTCAAGCTGTTGAATGACAATGTTGGACAATTTGGCTTCGAGATCAATATCAATTTTGAATCCCTCTTTGTTCAATTCATTTAGCAAATCGGAGGTGGCCATGTATCTGTAATCTTTGTCCTTTCCCGTCATCTGTAATTTCATAGCAAAAAAAAAATTCGATTGAATGCCATTCGATTAGAGTAGAAAAGCGAAAAAAAAAAGCAAATTTCGATTGATTGTTGTTTACCTTCTCGAGGATCCCGGTTAAGGTTAAGTTCGCCATCTTCGCAGGGAGTTCACCGGAGGAATTTTGTGTTTGTGTTGATTGATGATTTTTTTTTCTTTTTTTTGGTCTGTGTGTTCTTAAACCCTATTTAAGGGCATAGAGACTGTGATTTAAAGGCGTGTTTGGGGTTTGGACTCTGTGATTTGTTTGGGCTAGAGCCGTACTCTAATAAGCAAAAGTAGAGACCCCTTTCACAGTTTCACTATTCACACGCGTGCGCGTGTGGGTTGGTGCTTGCAAAAAAATTTACAAATAAATTACGAGTTTTTTTGTATATAATCTATTTTTTTTTTTTTTTTTGTGTTTGCAAAGATAGCTTTTGCTTTCCTTCTCTTAAGATAAGTTGTTTTAAGGTATAATTTTAAAAGTACTCATGTACCTGTTTTTTTATTTTAGTTAATTCTCCAATTTTTTTGCACAAACACTCTCAACTTTTCAAATTAAGTACTTAATATTAACTAAACTCATGTGGTGTTTGTAAAAGTTTATTTAAAAGCAGAAGCTAGTGATTGTGAGTTAGGTTGAAATTAAGTGCTTGTTTCTAAAAGTTTGGGGTGTTTGCAAATTAGCTGGAAAATTTACTGAATTAGAAAAAACAGGTACATGGATGCTTTTAAAATTATAGCTTAAAGCACCTTATTTTAAGAAAAGCAAAAGCAAAACTTTGATTTGCAAACACCTAAAAACAAATTATGCGCAGAAAAAAGCTCATAATTTATTTCCAAAAAATATTTGCATACACCACCTCACAATCACTTATGCTTTTAAATAAACTTTTGCAACTCACCCAACATCGTTTACGCTTATCCATGTGCCTTTTCTTGGGCGGTAATTATTTCTTCGCCGCCGCCTCACTTCTCATCCACGCGCCTCTTCATCCTGGCATTGACTTATTTTATTTGCGTCCACACTTGACTGCCGCTGTGATTTCCCACGGCCTCCGCGATTGATGTTCTCTCTCGCACTGCCATTGTCCGCCGCCGCCAGCCCGTTTACTGCCTCGATACCGTCGGTGATCTGTTCGAGGTGTAAATTTTTTCCTTACCTATCTGTGTTACCGCCTTAGGTGTTGTTTGCAAAAGCTTTTCGAAACAGCTTATAATCTGTTTTTAGATTTTTTGCAAAATCAAAATTTGTTTTTGCTTTTCTTGAAATAAGTTTTTTTAAGCTATTTAAAAAAAAAACACTCGTAGACCTAATTTTTTCTATTTAAGTTTGTTTTTTAGTATATTTGCAAACACCTTCAACTTTTAGAAATAACCACTTAATATCAGCTTAACTCACAATTACTAACTTTTAAATAAGCTTATGCAAACACCACCTTAATTAATGTTTTGGGGAATTAACTTAAAGGACGTCAAATATAATTTTATTCCCAACAATGATAGTTGGACCGATTGGAATTATACTATTGCCTTCAAGAACTAGGGTTTGAATATAAATGGGAACCAAATTTGAAGAAAAAGCTACTATATTTTACCACTACGCTAAATTACTTAGATAATCGACAAAAATGAAGACTGCGGTTGTTTGTCGTTTTATGAGCAAGATCCAACGTCCATAAATGAAAGACTCGGGTGCAATGCGATCATTCAGGAGGCGTGGGAATCCATGCATTGTCATCAAAACAGCATCGCATTACCTTCGAGCTAACAACTCAAAAGCGTGTATTATTAAATAACATTGAAGTGGTTCTATTAGTTGATCGGCGTCGTATTCAATCTTCAAATTTTAGTTTAATTCGTTAAATTACCCTCCCCTTCCAAAAGACGTGCCTCGTGGCTTGAAATTTGGAAACTTATTTTCCATTTCTGCTGCACTTTCCCAAGTATTTTCCTCCTTTGGCAAGTGTGCAAATTCCATTAATCTCTTGGGACATGCCCGTATTACACAAAAGATAATTCATATAATAAAATGCTCGTTGCACGTAAAATTACTGTCGAAGTTCATTGTCAATTTAAAATATTCGAAGTTCACTACCCTAGTTTGAAGCAATTTCATAACAACCAACAAAATTATCTCAATAATTAGATACACACATTCATTTTAATAAAAATCTCTTAATCATTCGACCAACATTCAAACTCGCGTGGGGCAAAATTTCCGCTGAAATATTGCGAAAATTAGTTCCCAAAATTTTCCCCGATTTACAACTGTTATCGTTCTGATACAGGTAAGAGGATTTCAGATTTCTCATTCCGGTTACCGATCAAAACAAGTGTAACTAAACACGGAAGAAATTTTTTCAAATTTTTTTTTATGGTAGGAAATTCAAAATTTATTCAATCGCCATTTATTCGTATGCTTTACTGTTCGATGCATCATGTATGTTGTCAACGAAACCACGATTTTTGTGAAGCCTAAAAATAAATAAGCAAAGCAAGGCAACGGTTATGACAAGTCAACAAATTTGGGGTCAACAGAACTTAAAATTGTTGAATATTTACAAGCTGCCTTTTTTCAGGCTGTTGCATTACAAACTTATGGCAGGCAATGAATCCTCCAAGTCTTCATGCAACCTCCTCTTCACCGGGGCGCCTTCTTCCTGAACAGACGCAAAATGATCATATATATATATATATATATATATATATATATATATATATATATATATATATATATATATATATATATATATATATATATATATATATAGAGAGAGAGAGAGAGAGAGAGAGAGAGAGAGAGAGAGAGAGAGAGAGAGAGAGAGAGAGAGAGAGAGAGAGAGTCTCTTTTGATTTTGTTTGTGGAGGAACTTGTTCCAATCCGCGACTCGACCAAAGCAATTTTGCTCCGCATCCAGGTGTATCTGGTGAACCTACAGCCTCGTCATCAACCAAAACTGTATCTGCATAGTTTACTCCAGATGTCGCATCTGGAACCTGTAATACGAAAATATTACGAAAGTGAAAAGTGTTATGTAATATTATTATTATGTTACTCTTACTCACATATTTGATAAGATCAATAACTAGTCAACAGACAAACATCAGGTAATTTGACCGCTTTTCTTATCAGTTACGAGTCTAACCTATGATTCATCTCTACATTGCAAGTGGGCTCGTAGAGAAGGGAATTTGGAAGTAATTGCAATAAAAGAAAAATGATATTAGGTTCTGCATATACCTCAAACATTGCCTCGGTTAGAATATTTTCCAAGATGGCTCTCAAACCACGCGCACCAGTATTCCTGGCTGTCGCTTTCTTTGCAATCAATCTCATTGCGCCGTCTGTGAATTGTAATTTGACCTGTAATTTTGAATACTCGGTGAAAATGAAACCGTGTGTAAACGAGTATATAAATATTATCAATCATAACTTACATTATTCATGCTGAACATCCTCTTGTATTGTTTACAGAGAGCATTTTTTGGCTCCGTGAGAACCTAAAAATCCAATTTCAGATTAAAAATCAAATTCATAAAGGAGTAAAATCATGAGAACATAAGAAGTTTTTTAATCACATTTAAAGGTAACGAACGAGACATAAGAAGATTAGTTTATGACGAGGGTAAAAAAGTAAACACACCTGAACAAGTTGGTCTTCATCAAGAGCCGATAAGCTCACTACAACAGGAAACCGCCCAACAAACTCAGGTATAAGACCATATGCAGTAAGATCACCACCCTCTACCTGCAATGGCAAATGTAATCTTACGAACAATTCCTCAGGTAGTATTTGAGATATCTATTAAAAGGTGTTGTTGGACCATGTTCAGTTCATATAACGAACAATGCAAGACTCAAAGAGGAACTTTTAAATTTTAAAACATGACAAGAGTTGTTACTCACATGTTCCAATAGTGACGAGGCTGAAGCGATATTTAATCCACCAACTCTCATATTAGTACGGACAGGTGCACCAAAACCAATAGAGGAATCTTGTCGTCTGGGCAAAAGAAAAATTAACAAAATTCAAATATTGACATATGTAATAGCTCACGGTAAAAAAAAACTAAAACCGAACTACCTCTCAGAAATTCTCTTCTCCAAATCAACAAAAGCTCCACCACAGATAAAGAGGATATCTTTTGTATCTATCTGCCAGTTATACCCATCAAATAGAACAATAAGTTTTTTTAAAAAGATTAATTTATAGCATAGCAATGGAAGTATTCTAATTTGATGAGACCTTACTTTCACAAATATTTATAAAAAAAAATGGTATGATCTTTTCATGTCTATAAAAAGGAATATGGCCCAATTTGTGTGCCTTGCAATATAAAATAAAGAGACATAGTGGTTAAGACATTAGATAACAAGGACATAAGGTTCAGTACAGTAATCTTATGAACAGTATCGGTTAGAGATGATTAAAATACGTAGATTTGATGATTAAGGTAGTCAAGTTAATATATGTCCTACTGAAGAAGAATTTACAATTTAGATCCGCTCAGATAATCCAAAAAAGTCGAAAGTGAAAGTCATAACATAGGTTGTCTTAAATGCTACCAATTAGAACTTAACAAGTCAGGCTTAATTAGGTATACAAGTGATTGTGCAGTATCTCATTTCACTCAAATCACTATACAATCGAAGGATTTAAAAAAATAATATCGTTGATACCTTTATTGTGAGATCAAAATTACAAAAACTGATTACAGCTCGGCAAAATTACGGTCACGACATGATAGGAAATGCTTTCGATCAACATCACATATAAACCTTCAGTCTCCATCCAAGGGAACAAAATCCTCCAGAATTAACAAATCTTACAGCATATTCTAAAATTTAAAATGAGATACTTGTAAGATGACACAATAGGTTTATGTGATCTAATGGTTTATCTTGCCCTAAATTTATTTGATTTAATAGTTTATCGACCACTATGATCAGGAAAATAAAAATAAAAATAAATTCAAACATTAGAGATTTTCATAAGAGACAAATTCCAAGTTATGGATACCTGAATGCTGTCACGGTGTGAATGCTTAGATGTTCTAAGATCAGGAACACTTAAAATCTAGACAAAACAAACATGGTTATTTAATCAGTACGAGATTAATAAAATAAGTATTTAAAATGATCAAATTAAAATTCATAAGAGTCAATGTACTATACGCTACATGAGGGAGCAATGCCCAAATCACTATGTTCGTACCTCACAATTTAAAAATGAAAAACAGAAGAATGGCCACAAATGAATTACTCACAGTTCCTTCCAGCATTTTCAGTAGTGCTTGCTGAACACCCTCTCCAGATACATCTCGACCAACGTTCAAGCTCTCAGTCTACAAAAGAGCTTCCAAGAAGAAAGTTCATCAAAGAACAACAAAAATTAGCTACTGATTTTGTGACTTACTATCAAATTATTGAAGATCGGCTATACCTTCTTAGTTATCTTGTCAACTTCATCTATGTACACAATTCCTCGTTGAGCTGCTTCAACATCAAAGTCAGCAACCTAGAATGGACATTAGCATCAAGTCATGACTCCTGTGGGACAAGTCACATGCAAGTCCAGAAACATATATAAACAGCTAATTTGTAGATGATTCGTTTTCGTTTTGCTTCTTGTTTTCACTTCCGTTTTCCTATATTTTCGTTTCTCTTCTATTCTGTACACACAAAATGGAGTAGCACTTCATATAGCTCAAATGAAGTTTAACGAGGTAATAGAGGAAAATGGATGTATGAATGAAATTTCAACTTTGTCTCAACATGGATTTGAGTCTTTAATTCCTTCGTCAACCCTTTAAGTAAACCATTATGATCCACGAAACACAAACTTTCCAAAATGGTCCAAAGTAAAAGCAAATTATAGAATATACAACACATGCTGTAAATGGGAAGACCTCTACTGAGGCAAAAACAGCACTTCACAAAGTGAACTTGCTCAATATATAAACTTCAGTTCTAAAAAAGTACATACATAATCATCCTTTCACATAAAAAACACGAGCATTTTTTTGTTTTTTATATAGCATACCTGCGAGTTTTCATTTTTAATTAAATACACAAACATAAGATGATAAGTACATGAACTTTTTCACACATCTTAAATCTCTCTTGAGTCATTGTTATTAAGTGAAACACATAATAAACTCAATAAAACATACCATGAGCAATTTGTATAGTATGGATTCAACATCTTCCCCTACATAACCAGCCTGGGGCATTCACACAGACAGGATAAATTAGTCGTAAAATTTGGTATTAGTGAGCAAGTACCAAACAAACATAAAAACAAGTACTCAAGAACAGGACATATTACTAAACTATATCAATCCTGCCTGTGTTAGTGAAGTGGCATCAGCAATGACAAAAGGCACATTTACAACTCGAGCTAGTGTTTTTGCAAGCAGCGTCTTCCCTGTCCTTTAGTAAAGGAGAAACAAATAAATCAGAACAGTGCAACATGCATAAATTTTTCCCTATACCCCCTTTCCCATAGGTAATAGGCCTCAACCCAAAAAAAAAAATACAATTAACTTCTTTAATGACCAAATCCTCTTTTTCACAGAACTAAAATACGGGAGATCATGCCTGAGCCAGTTGGACCAATTAATAAGACATTGCTTTTCTCCAGCTCAACAACATCGCTGTTGTGACAATCTAGTTCAGGCTCAGTGCAGCCTGCTTCAGCAACTGTCCTGGTAGTGAAATGAAAATGTGGTCAACAACAAAACTTACTATGCATTTCACATAAATCAAGGAAAGTCACAATTTGCAATGTGTAATGCTCAAGGGTCAAGTCATTGTGTATTATTATTCACTCATGAGAATCTAGAACCAAATGGTACATATTACATATTTTGTCTCTTATAAAATACATCCAAGAAAATTCTAAGACTACATATAATAAGGAAAATGTATGGACATAACTAAGGAAGTTATGCAATCATTTTTTTACCAAGACCAGACACCAGAACAATGAGCCATGTCTAAAGAAAATGTATTTTGCTAAAGACATGAACATGAAATCAGTGGCATGGATAACCAAAATCATAATCCTTTTAACAAGTATGTTTGCAAATTTTTGGTTTTGAGTAATTAACTAGAAATGTTTCCAGATTAAGATTTCTAGTTATCAGAATTTCTTTGGACCTCTAAACTAACGAAGGAAGACACTGAAATATTTATGTGTAAGATGGCATCCCAGAGACAAGGTCCCAAAGTCATCAAATACTCTAGTTAAGATATCACAAATATCCAACGATTCAGTAAGGCTTTAATTTCTTAGATAGATAGATTTGATGAGTATGACAAATAGGCAAACCAAAGGAATAATCTCCACAAAATCCGAAAAGGATTTAGATACATAGATACACTACTCACTCTTTCTGAAACATGGAGTGATTTATTCTTTTGTAGTGGTTGTAAACAGCAACAGAAAGCACCTGTTACATGAATAAAGTCATTTAGCTCAAAATTTTGATACATCCATCACCGAAGTTCAGGTGAGGAAGTTGAAAACAAGGATCGCCAATTAGCACATCTGTTCAGGATAATTTGGATCATATCACAGCCATCTCCAATTAAATGAATTCAATTGGATAAAGCCCACAACAACTACCCAAACTAAAACCCCAAACTTCATTTATATTTGTAAAGAGAACTGGAGAGAAAATTTTGAATTTTGTATGTTCGGAAAGTCAACTTTAATGTAGAAAAGAATCATAGCTAAAATCAGGGTAAAATGTAAAAACACACATATTACATTTTGATCTCCTAATATTCGGCATTTCCAAGGGGACATTGTCCAAACAAGTTTTAGATATATTATTCACTGAAAGTTGACGGATTCTATAAGAAAACGGGAATACATAAAATTTACAGCGAAAAGTTTTGTATGTTCAGAATGCCAACTTTGGTGTAGAAAAGAAGCATAGCTAAAATACTATAATTATAATTATAACGACTCAATTGATCATTCTACGTATGAAATCAGCAATCAGCAATTAATAAAATTCATGCACATAATCGGCACATAGTCGGCACAGAACTACACCGACATACTCAACAACTTAATGGCACACTTCGATCCATAGAAGCACCGTCTAGCAGAAACTAATATTGCAGAAATTTGGATTCAAACGCGTTTTAAACATAAATTCAGCAAGAACAGGCAAACCTTCTTTGCCTTCTCCTGCCCGATAACGAACTCGTTGAGCACCTTACATATCTCCTTCGGCGTAGGCAAATCTTTCCCCAATTTTTCCACCTCCTCCGAAACCCCCGTAGCCCCTCCCTCCGAAATCTCCTCTTCGTTACAGTTACAATCACGATCAGCAGCATCACTGTTCTTCCGATTATCCTCACCGCCACCACTGTAAGACCTCAGCTTCTCCCAAATCTTAACCCCTTTCTTCCCAATTTCTCCGGCGTGATTCCCCTCCAAATCCCTAAAATTCTCTCTCCCGCCCTTAATCCTCCCAATCTCAATGAAACTCCCCTGCAGCGGCTCCAGCTTGAACGGCCGGAAATAAAAGGCCGTCCGACAATTGTGGCACATGTTCACGGCCTGGTAAATGCCGCTCTCGGCGGCGGTGATGGAGAGTGGCCGGTTCGAGAATAGCACGGTCATCGGTTTGGAGCAGCGCGGGCAATCGACCTCGGCTTTGATTTGATCGTAGTTGTCGGAGATTCCATCCCACTTGTGCCGTACCTGGAGAAATGTGGTCCGGTGGGAATGGAGGAAGGTTGCCGGACGTAGGGTTTTGACGGCGGAGGAGTGGAAGCTTGAGTGCGGTTTGGAGGTGAGGACCGCGGCTGTAGTAATTACGCGGCGGAGCTTGGAGGTAGAGTATCTCAAAATTGCAGACATTATTATCGGCGCCGCCGCTGCTGCCGCCGCTTCATATACACACTGGATGATCGTCTGGTTGGGTTCACTGGTGGCGGCGCAAAGCAAATGTGGCGGAGTGGGTGTATGAAATGAAAGTAGCGTTTTTGTCTTCCGATGTTGAAAACGCACTTCCCATTATTTTATTTATTTTACCAATAAATAAAAGAAAAACATAAATAAAAGATGAAGTATAAAATTAATTCAAGTATAAATTGTGAAGAAAAAATAATGATCACATTATTAAAGAACATATTCTAATGTTACATTTCTTTAATTTTGAGAGTGTAATCTTTTGGTTTGATCCAACAATTAATTAATGTAATGTAATTATGGTGTGCTTTAAGCAAATAATTTATGTAAAAAAAATAATAAATTGTCTTATTAATTTAAAAATTACTAAACAATATGGTAGGACTATTAGAGCATTCACAATGCAATAATTTTAGAACATATATGTATTAAGTTGAGAACATAGTAATTGTTTTCAAATTTTTTTTTACAAGTACTTATATAGATCTAAGTTATTAAAGCTCTAAATTTTTTTTTTTATAAGAGATTCTAAGTATGTATTCCAAAAAAGATATTTCAAAAAGTTATATAAGGATACTTGAATTGAATGCATTCATGAACATATCAATCAACAATGTCGATGTACTGATAATATATACTCTCGTATAGTAGTTTGTAAAATATGTGAAAGACGTAAATTACATTAAACTAACTATGTGTAACAAACTACACATAGCGACCGTTAGCAAAAGAGTTTGAACTTGAGTTCATTAACACAAACTCTCTTGCAGGAACTCACCAATGAAACTTGTTTTTTTAGATAAAAGGGATTGAGAAACTTTCGAAAACCAGTTGAAATAGTAAAAACTGTGACAATAAACTTCTTTATATGCTAACTTAAAGAATTTAAATCCAATAAATTCTTTTAGCTTATTGCGTGCCGAGTAGGGGTATGAATGAGCCGAGCTCGAGTCCAAACTCATTTTGAGTTTTTTTACAATTATTGTTAATTTTTTACTATAAAAAATTATTTAGATTATAATAAAAAAAATACAAGAGAAAAAATAAACTGTAATATTTTTTTTAATATTTGTATGTTATTTTTATACTATTCTTATAATATTTTATATTATCATACATTATTTAAATAAAAAAAAAAGAATATACAAAAATAAATAATTAAAAAAAATAAGGCTTGCGAGCCGGCTCATGAACTCACAAAGAGCTAAAAAAAGCTCGAGCTCGAGTTTAAAAACTTTGAGCTAGAGTTCGAGTTTTTTTCGACTCGACTCATCGAACTGATAACTCGGGTTGTTACCACCATATCTTATCTGCACAGTCAGCATAAATAGCTCCTAAAAAATCAAATGTTGACTAGATAGTAGTAGTAGATATAGCTCCAACTCCAAGAGTGGCAATAATTCGTTTATTTATACGATTGAGCAATTTGAACTTTCGGTGCATATTAAATTATTAAGGCTGCACCTATTTGCAATCTTAAAATTTCTAAACGCAAGATCTTAAGTTATGCAAGACCAAAATATAAATAAATTTACTAAGAGCAAGACTGAAAATTACAAATATGATCCCAACATTAATTTTGATATTATTAATTCAAAAAACGCCTAATTGCTATTGGAAGACCAAAAAAATAAAAATGAAAAATGACAATTCTTCTTCACCAACAAAACACAACCTCTTCTTCTTCACAAAAAAACTATTTCATATTCTCCAAAAACCATTATCAAACAAAACCCTCAAATCTTACTAAAACTTGAAAAGAACGACATTATGGACACACGAAACATTAATATGGATGATTCTAAGGTCGAAGAACACAATGAGATAAGAAATGTTGTACTTTATTTAGCTTTGTGATCGTTTTTCGTTTTTCGAAAATAATTTCGCGTACACAAAAATTCGACGTTATTTACAGGTCGATATTTAGCAATAAAAACGACATTACAACGTCGATTTTCTCAATTTCTGAAAAATCGACGCCAGATGTCGTTTTAATTGCTAAAAATCGACACACTGATGTCGAATTTTGAACAAAAAATCGACACACAAATGTCGAAAAAAATGCAAATAATCGACAACAACTTATTGTCGAAATTTAGTGAAAATTTTGACACCAATGAGTCGAAATTTTACAAAAAAATCGACAAGTACAGGTCGATATTTTTAAAACCACAATTCCTTCAACAATGGTGGTGAAATCTAACCCTAAAATCATACCCTATGTTCCAAATGGACTTGTGGCGACTGTCGACTGCAATGGCGACGACGGTGGTGATCGACTTTATTGGCGACGGCGCGACGGCAAATCTGCAAATAGTTCTCTTCTTCCCTCCTTCCCGTTCTTCAATTGTGTTGGGTTTCTTTTTTCTTTTCTTTTTTTTTGTCTTTTTTTTTTTTAATTTGGTCTTGCAAGAGTAATTGGTGTAATTATGTTTTATTTTGTTTATATTTTACTGAGGTCATTATAGTCTTTTTACACTTAATTTGGTATAAAATTTTATTTGATCTTGCCCTAAGTAAATTTTGGATTGCATATAATTGCTGCCAATTATTAATTATGTCCAAGTGTAGAATTAAACCATGAAAACTGAAATTTCGTGCATGCACAAACAAGAATGAGAAAATAGTATAAATAATAAATAAAAATAAAAATAAAAATTCAAGATTTGGGGACCTCAATTTTTATAACGTGCAGATTTGTTATGGTGGGGCTGATCTCATCCAAATCCTCCTCAGCAAGGGGCAAAGGTCAAATATATATCTATTATATACATTTGGCCTTACCACCTCACATTTTACTATTAATTTATATAGGGAAACTTGAAAAAGGATTAAATACATTTTTTATTGAGTGTTCAATGTTCACTTCTCATAGGATTTTTCAAATATTACAATTTATATATATATTTTAATTTTTTTGTATATTTCTTATACTTCACTCCATCACTCCATGATGCACACATAAGAAACATACCCCTTGCATTTTTACGTGAAAAAAATACGCGGCAGTGGTACATACGTACGCACACTTGATATTGACTAAAATTGAGATCTGATTTTTGTTGTACTAATTTTACGAATACCATTCATTCAAAAGATTCAAACCACCTCCCCCCTCCAAATTTCACAAAAAGGCCAAAAGTGGGCGTGAAAAATCACATTCGACGATCTAATTTCCAAATACATGTTAATTAACTAATAAATTTTTACATTAACAAATATTCTTCAATTATACATTAACTATCAACTAATTATTACTACAAATTGTTAATCAAATTATTATTAACTATTCAAATTAAAAGTAATAGAAATAATAATAAAATATTTTCTTTTTCTTTTCTATCGGGGCGGGGCAACCCCTAGTCTCTTACTGGGTCCGCCTCTGAGAGCGTCTAATAAAATAAGTCGTGTTGTGCGTAGTTGTTTGATAAAAAGAATTAATAATGGGACCAAATTGAACTAAATATACGGCTTTAATATTTATTAATCACTTAATGCGATTTCGTCAACAAAATCCAGTTGATAAGTAATTAAATACTAGGTTATAATTGTCTGGCTCATGCTTTCTCATCTATCAACTAGCACCGTTGCCAAAATTCAATCCAACAAACCGAACGTCTAACTGACTAAATAATACATTATCTTAATTCCACTTTGCACCCTTTAAATAGAGCATTTTGACATTTTGTACCCATAGAAAAATAATAATAGCACTTTGCACTCTCAAAATACAATAAATCACTCCCTATGCACCATTAATTGAATAATAAATGATAATTCATTTTTATTGGTGTAAAATAACTAATTAAATTGTTATTCTCTTCAACCTCCAACCTAATCTCGAGCGCACAAAGCGCGAAAAAAAATTAAAATCACACCGGATAATTAAAAAACAAATATATTTTCTTACAAAATTAATCAAATTAACTTTTATCACGAAATTATTCGATTGATAAATCTTTTATTTTAATTAATGAAAGTATTAGGTAGAGATAGTTGGAAGAAAATATAATTTTCAGATAACTTAATAATGAAATAGCTGAATAATTTTTTTCGTAATTTTTTTTTTTTTTTGTGATAGAAAATATATTTTTTACCTTTATTAGCTTTAAACACTGATGTGTGTATGACCGCCAATTGAGCCAGGTTTAACCGAAGCCCCATGGCTCGGCCTGATTATATTTGAGTCGAGCCTATTTTTAGTGAGTCGGGCTGAGTTTGGGCCATTTTACTAGGCCTGATTTATTTATGACCTGAGTTTGAGCCTACTATGGCTCAACCCGACTAAAGCCCGACCGATTAGGTTAATAATAAAATATATAATACATTTATTTAATGGTATTACTCAAAATACAAGTTACGACCGTATAAGATAATTTTATTTTGCAAAATAAAATGAATTAAGTGGTGGCGGTGGCAATAAATAAAATATGAATCAAATGTAAAATATCCCCACCGAAATCCAATTGCTGAAATTTATCACCTAGGTTTGAGAATATAAAACGTTTCCAATAATAAGATGGACATGAGCCTATACTAATGAGCTCCGATGGTATGTGAGCTTGAGCCTATAGTAATGAGGTCCGATGATATGTGAGCTTGAGCCGACCCAAGCTCGGCTCACATGATCCGATTGCCAGCCCTAGATATGGAATGTATGTACGATAAATTGTGTTTTGAGGGTGCAAAGTGCCAAAATGATATATTTCAAACGTGCAAAGTGGGATTAATCCATAATAAATTAGTCAGTAAAAAATATAATTCAGTCTCATCTAACCTGAACTAATGCGAGATAGGTACTAATGCGATATAGGTAATAGAACGAATCTACTAACTAAATAAATAGTTACTTGGTAGACATTAATATAGTTTACTTTATAACTCGTGTAAATAATATATACGCAAATTATTTTAAAATTAAAGTTTGTTATATAAAAATAAAATCCACTATTTATTTTTCATCAAAGTCGACTTACAAAATAAATAATATTTTGAGAGAATTTTATTAAAAATATCAATTATGTTGCAATGTGAACTATTTATTACCTTTTGAGGGTATAAAATACTATTACTCATTACTGGTCCTAAATAGTTTCCAAATCATACAAGATACGTAAAACACACTAAGTTACCTATGTGAGACAAATTCGACCTAACGATCGTTGACAATAAAATTCAAATTTGGATCAGCTGACACAAACTCACTGAGTCAACGGTTACGTCATCTTTTGTTGTACAAGCTAACTTAATTATGATTAATAAAAGTGATAGGCATTATTATAAAATAAAACCTTTTATTTGTATTGTGGTTTACAATGCAATTTGAGCCTTGTTTCAAGAAAACACAACTCTTATTTGTTAATATTACTTCGTAAGAGACAAAAATGAGAATATTAAAAAAAAAATTGGGTGAAGAAAAATATATTTTTTTGTACCCCACTTTGTTCAAATCTTGCTCACACTCTTGTGATTGATGTGCCTTGCAGGAAAAATGTAATCATGCAACTTTTCATAGAATGTAACAATTCCATTTAACAACGACATAGGTTTTTTAAATTTTAATTGTCCAAGAAAATAAAAAGTAAGAAAAATATCTTATTTTATATTGAATATAGTCAAAGAAAATGACATGAACCTATAACACCAATATTTTTTTACAACATATCAATTGGTAAGTTTCGTAGCTATACGATAGCCTGCAAATTACACAAAACGTGTAAATTTCGTACCGAGCAAATGTTGTATGTGTTATCCTTAAAACTCTATCAACTAAACCATTAATTGTATGAGGATAATTTTACTGCTACATTAAAAAAAATGATTTCCATAATAAAAGAAATGTATTCGCTACAAAACAAGCTAACATCCCTTTATTTTTTAATTCTTCATCTAAAATACATTTTTTCCAATATATTTAAACATGATTTTAATGCTATACAATGTAGGGGAAATATGCAATACACCCCTTATTTAGAAAATATTTTGAACTAAACCCAATTGACTTTAAAGACTTTTCCCATAACCCACATTCCAATCTAAATTAGTGAGACCCCCCTTACCAGCCATGATAAGACTAAAGTGCCCTTGTGTGTTAGGGTTTTAATATAATACAATTTTATTTCTCCCTCAATTTCATTCTCTCGGTTCTCGCCTCTCTCTCTTTCATTCTCTCGCTATTTCTCTCTGTTACAGCTTTTTTTTTTTCTTTTTTTTTTTTTTTTTTTCTTCTTCTTCACATCTGTAGACCGCCGCCGCCGGAGTCACCCTTCAAACGCCGCCGCCGAAACCCGTTGCAGGAGGCCCTTCTCCGCCGATGTTGGAGATCGTCTCCCCCCTCGTCGAACACCACCACATCGACGCCTGGTACAATTGGCGGCGGCGCCTCCCCCACCTTGTCGCTGCCTCCGTCGGATTTCTATATGGAGATTTCCCTTCTCTCAACACGGAATACCAATATATACTATATTAATTGGTAAATTTTATTTTTTATTTTTCTCGAATTAATTGTCGAACTAGCAATAGAATATGTCATGGATCTGGATTTTTAGTTCTATTATTTGTTTGTTATGAACGAATACATTGATTTTCAATTATTCTTGATTATATTAATTTTTGTGTTATTCTACATATCCTGAATGTTTAGATCTGGAAAATCTATTGAATTACGAGATTAGTCGGTTGTGGTGCAATGTATTTTACAGAGTAGTCACGTTTGACAGAGTAGTCATGTTTAACAACTTAGTTATATTTGTTTTTTTTTTTTTTTTGTGGTGCTGCATATGTTCAACTGTGTAGTCATATTTAACAGAGAAGATCAAACGGAAGATTAAGTGCAGTCGGTGCAACCGAGTTGGATACCGCAACAAAAAAACATGTTCGATGGCCATTGTTGAAGGATCACATTAGTTATTTTCGTTTTTTCATAGTCCTTTTTTTTCTTTTTGCAATGTATTTTGCTGTTAATATTGCAAGTTTTTTCAAGTGCTGATTACTTGTAGTCACATTACGCAGTTGCTAGTCACATAATAGTCATATTCCCACTATCATGTTCAGTATGTTATACAAACTGTAGTCACATAATAGTCATATTCATGTTTCTACTGTCTGTTAATTATAATGTTTTACAAAGCACAGTCACATTCACATAGTAGTCATATTCTTACTGTTATATTAATAATTATGCTTCTACAATATGTTAATTACACTATTATGCACAGCGTAGTCACATAATAGCCATATTCAACTATAGTCATATTCGGAGTTGTAAATCTGTCGAGAAAAAAAAAATCAAATTTTTGTTTAAAAAAAATTAAAAAAATATATTTTTTTATTAAAAAAATATTAAAAAATAATAAATAATAAAAAAGTGGCTATAAAATCCGAAAATAATACAAAAAAAAATCCTATTTTTTGATTTGGTAGCAAATTTTTTGAAATTTGGAAGTAGATTTTTAGGAATTAGATTATTGTTATGGAAAGAGTGAAAAAAGGAATAATTGAGACTAATTATGTTAATTGACATAAGGGTAGAATTGGAAATACAAACTCTAGGGGGTTATCACAAAGAAAGATTTAAGGGTTGGACATATTACCATTTATTATCTATATGAGGGGTTTATTGCTAATGACCCCTACAATGTAATTATCTCGTTTTAAAATATAAACAAATATTATTTTAATTTTCAAATTGTTCGATCGAAACATATTTTCGCAAAATAAAATAAAAAATATAACTCTCAAAAGGAAGAATCCAAACGTTGTTCTTCTTTTTCAAGCTATTAATTGAGGAGGTGTAGATCAATTACAAGAAAGTAATGCAATTCTAGAGTTGGATAACCAACTTTGTTTGATGAAATTGGTGATCAATGTTTTGACTTGTCAAAATCAATTCCAATTATCGTGGGACAATATTTAATTACTTATGCAAATAAATATTTAATTTGATTATTTAATAAAATAAAAATTCCAGCTGACGCAAAAAAAAATACAGTCACCTTTATTTCTCCTCCCCCACGTGTCCCATCTCACACTTGTTCCGTGCACCCACTCGTCACTCTATCAAAACTCCCTTCCCATCTTCTCCCTCTCACAGCCTGTGGTTCGTTTACACTCTCTCTCTCTCTCTCCTCTCTCCTCTCTCCTCCCCTAGAGAGAGAAAGAAAGAAGAAGAGCTGAGCAAAACAACAAAATCACAACAAGAGAATCTCTCTCTCTCTCTCTCCCTGACATATATATATATACACACACACACACGCACTGTATATATACTCATCGGCATTTTCGCTCGTCGTCGTTTTTGGGGCGCAATGAAGCTCAAGCAACCGTCCAATTCGGCCTCGCAGACCCTCACCTCGTCGGAGACGCGCCTCCTCGTTCGCGAGACGTTTCGCATCAGCGCTAACCTTGCCTCGGCGCCTCCGCCGGCGCCCGCGGCGGCGGATCAGGAGCGGATTTCGCTCCGGGATTCTAACTTCGGCGGACTCGTCGAGGATCAATTTTTGAATTCGAGCTTGAAGTTGATCTGCTGCGAGGAGATTGACGGCAGACGGTGGCAATACTTCGCCGACAATGAAATTAGTGTTCGGAGTGGCGGTTCCAAGCAATTGAAGAAGAATTCTATTCGTGCTGTCAGTTTGCAGAGTCCCCAGGCCCCCATTGATGTCAGTATTTTCTACCAATTGTTATATTTTCTCTCTCTCTCTCTCTCTCTAAAATTCTATGAACCGCATTGATTGGATTTGGGAATAGTTTTTTCCCCCAAAATTATTTAGTGGTAAATTATTGAATTTATTTATTTTTTAATTTTTTTTTAATTTTTTTTTCAATCTTTGGACCAGTAATTAACTAAGAGATCTCTAACGCCACAAGATAGAAAATTAACAACCTCTTAATTTTCTATTTGCTCTAAAAGATCCAGTGTAGCTCTCACATAGAGTTAAATTCTTGTGGTGATAATGACATCATATAAACATACAATAGGTATAATATTTGTTGGGTGCAATTGGTGTTTGATAATGGTAAACTTAGTTAAAGAACTTTGCAGTTAATACTCATTCATAGCTTGTTGAGTAACTTAGTTAGGCTTAACATTATAAAGAGAGGGTCGGTCTTAACACACATCTCTTGTTGTATGAACATGCCGGGCCACATATAATCACACCGTGTAAGAAAATTACATACCGAAATAGACGAGAAAATAGTGGAAGGGGAAACATGACTAACAAGATTATGGCCATGAGTTAACTTCTGTCTAACTTGATTTATGATGTGCACATGTCCCAGGAGTTATTGGCATTTGTAAGGTCCTACGTTGTCCCGGAAGGTTTTCCTGACAGTGTCACACCTTCTTATGTGCCGTACATGAAATGGAGAGCTTTGAAGGTACTCTTCCAATATATCAAATTAAATAGTACCTAGAGTGCAATTCCATTCAGCGTTGAACTTTTCCCTAGTTCTAGTTCCAGAGTGGGATACTGACGTTATTTTGGTTGTAGCACTTTTTTGGCGGAGCAATGGGCGTATTCACAACGCAAACACTCCTTAGTTCACTTGGAGTATCCAGGAACAACGTTATGCCAGGTGCTGTAGCTATCAACTGGATTCTCAAGGTATGCATCAGAATTTACACAAGCTATTTCCTTGTCATGAACTACTTTTGGAGGTATTTGTTGAGTTATCGCAAGATGCAGTTTGTTTTGACATTGTGCAAGTCTATAAAGCGTCTTGACGTCTGGATATTTTGAGTCAAATGTTGTGGTATAAATTGAAGTATCACAACAGGGATGTCAAAAATAGGACTATTTATTTCTGGATTGCATTTCTTCATAATAAAAAACCAGATGCAAGATATCAGGATCGAGCCACTCTTGTACTCGAAGGAATACATGTGCTGCTTAATACAGAAAATGTTTCCTTCTGTGCACCACTTATTTTCTTGTACGGCGTTTAATGCATCTAAAAAAAAAATCTGACTTTAGACTGTTTCTTATGGCTAATTACAGGATGGCGCTGGACGGGTTGGGAAGATGCTTTTTGCTCGGCAGGGAAAGAAATTTGATTATGATCTAAAGCAGGTATTTAATTATTTAATGCGGTGGAGAAATTAGCAATTCTTAATGTTGTCAAATATGTTGGAGATATAAATATTAAATGATTCACTTCACTATCAGTAAGCTTTTAGATGATGTGGTCATTCAACAAGATACAATTCCTTATCTTCTGATATTTTGAACTTCATTCAGCTACGATTTGCTGGTGATCTCCTAATGGAGTTAGGAGCTGGGGTGGAGTTGGCAACTGCAGCTGTTCCCCATCTATTTCTTCCATTGGCATGTGCTGCCAATGTGGCTAAGGTTTAGTAACCTACTGTTCTGTTCACTTGTCAGTTTCTAAGAATAATGCAGGAATATCAACCTCATACATTAATCTTGAATTTCTTATAGAATGTTGGTGCTGTGACATCAACTTCCACTCGAACTCCAATCTACAAAGCCTTTGCTAGAGGAGAAAATATTGGAGATGTGACTTCCAAGGGAGAATGTGTTGGAAATATTGCTGATCTGGTAAGCTTGTTCAGTCGACATACATTCTTTGCAAAACTCTATCTTCTGCAATTAAATCTAACATCACCAAGCAAAACGATTCATCAAAATCTTTTCACGTTTAACTTTGTAACTTGTCTTACATGTTTTTTAGTGAACTACAATTCCTGAAAGAAGTTTCTTAATGCTCCTTTGTAAGCTTGTTTCTTATATAGCACCATCTTTCGTTGAGTCCGGCATACTTAATTGTCTATATATCTTTGAGTCTACTTTGATTTCTTATTTCAGATTTGGCAAATTTAGGTTGTTTCTTTGCGTGATTTTTCATGTTGAAATTAGTGAAAGGGTATTGTTTAAATGCCTTGCTAGGCAGGGCCTCCAACCCAAGCACATATGAGGCCCTAGACAAAAAACTAAATTTGGGCCCCCTTATATTAAATTTTTAATATGAAAAAAAATTTGTTGGTAATATTTGTTCTTATTTGAAGTACAAGTGTTAATAGTATTAATTATTATATTTTAAGGCTGCTGGCATTAGGCAAAATTTGCACACTGAAGGAGGCATTTCAATCTCACCACCTTCAGATTTAAGGCCAAAAAGTAATTTATTGTAATTTAAAAGGATGTTTTGAGTTCAAGGTTTATCTTAGATAGCGACTTCTAAAATTTCCACACTACAGTATCTTATTTCATATGCATTGTTTACTCATTTCCTAGTCTTTCGAGTTGTTACTAATTGAGGATACTCTTTCCTTGTGAAGCTCGGAACTGGACTGAGCATAATGATTTCTAAGAGAAACCCCTCCTTGTTCACCACATTTGCTCTGCTCTCATGTGGATATGTCATGAGCTCGTATCAAGAGGTTGGATGAAGTGAATATATCATACTCTCCCTCCCTATTCGTTTTCCTTTATAGTTCGATATTCTTCTGTCTGGAAGTATTGATTTGAAAATGTGTGACACGTCTCCTTTCAGGTGAAATCTGTTGTTCTGCATACACTTAATCGTGCACGATTCAAAGTGGCAGTAGAATCATTCCTGAACACAGGTGGATGAGTTTGTCGTTTTATTATTTTTCTCCCCCCCTGCTTATTTCATGTTTGAGAAAATAGATATAATATAGTGCTGATCTAAACTAGATTATATCGTTTTTAAGTACATGACATAGACCTCACGAAGAAAGAGTATTATAAGTTTGGTAGTGGATAAGTGAGGAGAATTGTGTAAGCAAACTTGGGAACAGTAGTGGATACTGTTTAAGAGGCAAAGAAGAAACTACAAAAAAAATTCTGCAGTATCAACCTAAAGAAGAAATAAATTGTTTATTTTGTAAGAAAGATTTATAAAATGATACATGGTGAAGATGAGGATTCCGTGTTATTCTTATTGATCCACAAAAGACACGTTGAGTATAGAAGATTCCGTTGAGTGCTGTTCGGGCATGGGTAAGTTACTAGAATTCCTGGGAAATAATTGAAAAAAAACTAAACTCTACATAGAATTAGCAATGTTTTATGGTACACTATTGAATTGCTAAGAAGCAATATCTACATATATGGGGTATAGTTGATATAAGAATTACAAATTGGATTTGCAGTTAAACGTAGAAGACAGAGTAAGAAAAAGCATGCACTATGAGTTGGTTCAGGTAGTGTCTGTTGGATATATATTGTTGAGTAGCCGCGAGGTGGTCTGGGGACATTAAAAAATGGTCTTCGTATGCACCATTTTCTTATACTTGATACAACTAATGTAAAATTCACCCTAGTTTTGAACAATACTACGACAAATGCATGGAGTAAAATGTGAAGAATTTGAGCAGTAGTAGAGTAATTATGAAGGCTGTACCTGATAGAGAACTTATTAGGACTATATATGTTAGGAGGATCAATTGGGATTTGGGAGTTGTAAACTTGCATCTCTCATTTTGAAAATTTTCATTTACCAAAATAACCCACTCTTCAGCGAAGCATGGACTTGCATTGTAGTAAAGTCGGAGACGAATCAGAACATGATTTTGCTTATACTTCAACCAATAAAAAGTGTTAGTATTTCTGACATTGCAATTCGCTATATGCTTCATTTTTCAGGGCGAGTTCCAAGTTTGCAAGAGGGAAATTCAATGGAAAATATTTTCAGTCCCCCATGGCAAAAACACAAACCTATTGTTGTTCTCGGTCTCTCTCTCTCTTTCTCTCTCTCTCTCACACACACACACACACACACACACACACACACACACACACACACACACACTTTTCTTGCACGGACATCCAAATTGCTTTTCATCCGAATATTACGCACAGATTAACCAAGGATAAATTTTAATCTTTTGCAGGGCCAAGATTTAAAGATGCATTCCAAGACCCTAATTCATTTCTTGCTTTAGAGCCCATTTTCGAGGTATGTACTACACGAAAACTTCCCTTTTATATAAATTCATGGACTACTTCTGCATGTGCTACCCTCACTGACTTGCCTTTGTACGTCCGTGCTGATTTATTTATACATGCTCACGATTACCTATAATTTCGTATGCCTTTAATTTTGATTATCAAATCTTCTTGATAACAGAAAGAACAGTACCTCGTGACGTATAATCCTTCTAAGGGAGATATATGTGCCTTGTTCAAGGATCAAGCAAAGTCCGATGATATATTGAAAGCAGCTTTTCATGTAAGATTGCATTCTTGTTAATCTTATACTCGCAATCATCGTTAGGAAATGCATTTCTTGCTAAATCCACATTTTGTATAACAGGCGCATGTGCTTCTTCACATCATTAGTTCATCCAATCAAAACCAACGCTCCTCTATTAAACAAGAGCATGATCTTTCAGCTGCGTTGCCTACGTTGGGTGATCTTCAGTCTCATATTGCGGAGTCATATAAGATGGTATCAGCATTATATGGGCCTTTCAAAAACAAGGCTAAGGAACAGGTAATGTGTAACTACCTATTTTAAAATGCCTAGTTACGTTATCTACCTATTAATTGTTTTGTGGACTAAGGCCTTGTTTGGTTGGCAAGATAAGATTAGCCAAGATAAGATTAAATGATCTAATGAAACCCAATTAGTTTATTGGAGCTTGAAACGTCCAACAAAAAAAACTCATTAGAAAGCAAGCCAAGATAAGGCAAGATAAGCCATGATTATATAATTTTGGTGGGTCGACCCGACAATTTATTGAGGATACCAAACATCAAATTAAGTCCAACTATTTAGTTAATCATGGCTTATCTTGGCAACCAAAGAGGGCCTTAGGATGTAAACTAGTTTAGTGGTCTAAATTCGATGGTTATCTTTGCTCGTTACAAATGGCTAATGGCTTTTCTGTACTAACCAGGGATGGGTTATGTCAGACTCGCTACTTAATCCTGGCAGAGCTAGACTATGTGGATTGGTCTGATAAGAGACATTGCTTAAAGTCGTGAAAATATTTCGGTAAAGATTCCAAAGATAATATATATTACTTGGTCGTCAAATCGACATGGAATATGCTGTGGAAAATGGGGCATGCTTAAGCAATACGTGGCCCGAATCCTTGTAATAATACAATCAGTTTCCTCTGCATGTCGACAAAAATCTGGTATTCGTATTTCAACTGATGCATATGCAGATATGGTGGTAAAGGTTGGATGCCATGTTTTTTTTTCCAATCGTATAGGTATGTTTTTAACTTATCTAAACGTCTTTTTTTTTTCTTCTTCTAATGCATGAAATTTCATGTGCCTCGAGACGATTCGTATTTATAGTAATGTATAATCAGTTTTGATGATCTGATTTTTCATCTACTTTCTATGTCGTCCTTTCGATACATCAGTTCCCGAGTCTCGCTGTTTTGTTACGTATAGAGTTCTGAGTCAGTTATCGGCAATAATAAACTGGTTATGAACTTATGATCCAACAGTATACATTATTAATATGATATTACTACAACTTCCGATGTTTATCCTCTTTTTAGCACAACACATGACCAAGGGTGGAAATATGGAAGGAAATTTCGATTTCCGTCGATTTTCATCCGTAAAAATCTGAATTGTGTAACATATGTTTTTAGTCGGATTTCCGATTTTGCTAAATATATTTGGATTGGAATTGGAATTATATATAACAATCGTGGTTCAATCCCTTTTGGGTTATGTTCTAAACTATTTATAAGGCTAAAGAAAAAAAAAACAATCCTGGAAATTGATATATTAACACATACAATATGTGAATGTGTAAAGTGAATAATTAACTCTAAGAACTAGGGTAAATTACAACCACCCCTGATGTATGGTGAAATTACGAAAATTACCTTTATGTCTGGGTAATTATAATCGCCCCCTCAACTATGAATCTTCTTACATGTTCCCTTTGCGGTTTCAAATTTAGTGGAATCTTCTTGATTTTATGAATTATTATCACTTTTGTACCCGTTTATCCCATTCGAGCTATATATATATATATATATATATATATATATATATATATATATATATATATATATATATATATATATATATATATATATATATATATATATATATATATATCAGATTGTGGTGCATCAGAAACTGTATTTTTACACAAAACGAATACAAACTAGAGCACATTTCACGGAATCCAGATGACTATGTTGAATTTGACACCATAAGAGTGGAGATGTAAGAAGATTCATAGTTAAGGGTAGGTGTGATTATCCAAACAAGAGGAGGATTTTCGTAATTTGACCATATATCAGGGGACGGTTGTAATTTACCTCAAGAACTAAGAAATGACTCTTGTTTTTGTACAATCATTTATTCTTCTCCACATATATTCACACACACACACACACATACAGTCAGTGGCGGCCCACCCTTGGGCAAGGGTGGGCTCCAGCCCACTCTCATTTTTTAAAAATTTATGCTATCTATTATATCTATATATTATTAGCCCCCCCAATAGTTTAATTTAGCCCACCCAAATAATTTAGTCTAGCGTATTTATCAAAAAATTATGTTATATTAGTTGAACTTTATAATTTGTAGTTATTTTATGCTATTTTATGTTAATGAATAAAAAAAATAAAATCGGGGGCGCTGCCCCCGAACCCCCGTCAATGTTAAGCCCACCCACCCATGTAATTTAGTGTAGCTTATATTAGCTTAAATTTATAAATTTGTAGTTATTTTGTGCTATATATTTATGTGAATGAATCAAAACAAAAATCGAGGGTGCTGGCCCCCGAACCCCCGTTAATGTTAAGCCCACCCTGTCTTGAAGTTCTGGCTCCGCCACTGATACAGTAAAAAAAATTCGGACTGAAAACCAAGCTACAGTTATACTACTGGACACTAGTAGTCTCCAATATATATATATATTTTATTGAATTCTTTTTAATTACCGGCTTTAATGAGTAAGAAAATATGCAAGACACAGTAATAAAAGGTTATTATTTTTAGTTATGGGTAGTTATATACTTGTGCTTAGTGGCGAGTCTAGAAATTGACCATATGGTGGCTTAAATTTTCAGGGGTTCGGGGACAGAGTCCTTGAAAGAAAATTTTGGAATTTATTTTTGGATAAATTCGGCAGAGAGAAAAAGTTCAGTGTTTTTTTTGCATAAATTAAGTCTTAGGTGGATTAAATAATAAAAATTGGGTGGACTGAATAGTAATATATGCAAATTATAGTAAATAATTTGTAATTGAGGGGGGCTTGAGTCCACCCTAGATAGGGACTGGACTCGCCCCTCGCCCCTGCTTGTGCTCGTTTTTGTAGTATTTAGCAAGAGCCCCCTCATCTAAAAAATGTAGTCAAACAAAATCCCTGTTCCAAAAATAATTAGAGAAAACCCCATTGGTTAGTATTCCACCAAGTTTATTTTTATAATTCCAAATCTACCCTTAATTGTCAATATACTATTTTGAAACCCTAATTTCTCTCTCATTTTTCCTCACGCTCCACTCACCCACTGATTCATCAGATTCATCATCTCTGCCTTTCACCACCATCACCACTGCCTCTCCCCCGCCATCCACCGCTACCGCCGCCAGATCCTCACCGACCACCACCGTCCCCTCGTCGTTCCACCACTCAACCTCACTTCGTCTTCGCCGCTCAAAACCCTCACAATCACAGTCGCCAACACCACCGCCGCACTTGCACATGACGTCAACAAGTCGTACACACTCGGCATCCCCTCCACTGTCGTTGCCGTCGTTCTGACCGCAGAAGCTCCATGGAGAACTATGCGGGAACTGGAGACGTTTTCGCAGCTGGTGTGCTTGAAGTCATCGGTGGTGGCCTGCTGGTGGTGGTCTGCTCCGTCGCCGCCACCAAGGAGTTCTTCACTAAGAACAGGTAATTCATAAACAAATCTGGATATATGCTCTCCTTTCTCTCTTCCTAACTGTAATTATCGCATTTAAATTTTCAGCCAAGGGGAAAAGAAAACTCCCACCAAGTCCGGTGGTGTGGTGACGATGGGGAGGCTGATTTTGAGTTTTTTTGTGGATCGGACGGAGGACGGCGGTGTAGAGAATTTCGCGCATGATGAAACCTTAATCGGCTATGTACATATTCAATAGTCGATTAAGCTAATCGACTATGTTCTGGCAGTCGATTAAGGTTGATCGACTCCATTTTTTCATTTTTATTTGGGATTTTGTGTTTATTGATTCCAAGTGTATAAATTAATTATAATGTTTGTGTATTTTTTGTTTTTTTGTAAAATATAGTTGATTTTGCATTTTTTCGCAATTGAAATTTGTTATGTTTAGTAGCAGATTCTTAATCGACTATGCTTCATCATAGTTGATTAATATACCTGATATAGAAAAAAAAATTTAAAAAACAAAAAAAATATTAAAAAATTAAGATTTTCCTTAATCGACTATGAAGCGATTAAGGCTAATCGACTATGCTTCATAGACGATTAAGTAAACTGATACAAAAAAGAAGGGGAAAAAAACGGAAAAAAAAAAAAAGTAATTGATGGAGCAAAATATTTCAGTTCTTAAATGAACTGAAATATTTTGGACCTCTCTCCATTAAAAAAAGTAATGAGGGGTTTCCTCAAATAGCCCCTATAAAATTTCCATTGAAATGATAAAATGTATATGACATACTCCCTCCGTTCCTAAATATGTGTCTTTTTTCACCTTGGCACAAATCTTAAGAATCTCAATAAATATGTCTTGATTTTAGGAAAATAGATATTGATGGAGCAAAATACCCTTATTTATTAATTAATGGATGAAGAGAGCTATAGAGTTAATAAGGGTAAAATTGAAAAATAAGCAATTAATGAAGCATTGGAATTGTAAAGTGACAGATAATATAGAAGAAAACAAATTCTCAAAAGAGACAGATATTATAGAACAGAGGAAGTATACATTTTACATAATGACACACATCAACAAGCCCATAAAGACATACAAACCAAATCATTTGACATATATAAAAGTAAAAAATACCGAACCGAAAATCGGTTCGTATTTAAAATCCGGTACGATTCAGTCGGTTTACTGACCGACTAAACACCCCTAAGCAAGCCAAGTGTGTTAGATTGCAATATATGGAGTGACCGGTTGAGCATTAAAGCTGAGACAAGAGCATGCCTTGATGGAACATAATTTGAATTTTGTCCAATAAAAATGGCAATTTTGACATTTCAATATATACTTTAAAGTCAGCGAGTCAAACAAGAATTTCAATGACCACTTGTCTAGTTGTCTTACCTTATGCCTAAAAGTAGGTATATAATTATTAATTCCAATCACGGGTGCAAATCCAACTCAATTTAATTTAAATTAACATCTTTGCAAAAATTCTAATTTTTCTCGAGAATTTTTTTTTTAACCAAAAATCGAAAACTCGTAAGTTCAAACGTAACAACTTGTACATAGATTGGAATTAACGGTAATAAAACTCGTAAATGTAATTTTCACAATTTGTTTCGAAAATTAAAGTTATATCGGACATCAGAATCTCACATAGTTCTGATCCAAAAAAATCGAAAATTCAAAACATAGCCATAACGAAAAATATTCTATAATACATTTTTGTTTGAATCAAAATCAATAAATATACAAAAATCTCCCAATTTTCACCCTAATGTGGACGAAGATTACTGCTAAAATGAGATTTGTTTGATGCTACATCCGGCGGTAAAATACACCAGACGATTATTAACCGATGATCTGCACACAATCACATACACACACACACACATGTATATGTGTACTTAGTGTGAAGTAGTTTCACTACATCAGTGGTTAATAAATAATTACCCGATGTAATATTTCACCAGACGTAGCATCTCAAAGACCGCAAAAATAATTAAAACAGGAGCAAAAATTAGTTTAAAAAAAAAAGAAAGAAAAAACAACTAATAACCCAAAAGGTAGTAGTAATAAATAATAACAACTAATAACTAATAATAATAATAATAATAATATAATCATCTTCTTAATCATGCCCTAATCATAATTAGTGTGTCACTAAACTTGGGTTTGATCATGATTAGTGTTGTTGTTGTTCTTGTTAGTAGAAGCAGCGAGATGAGTGTGCTTGTTGTTGTGCATCCAAACTTTCAAAACCCTTCTCTTAACACCAATTTCATGGCAGAAACTCTGCACCACACTCTCCTCTTGCTTCTGTATCCTCCACCCAACTCTCTCCGCAAACCCTAGCATCTTCTCCTTCTGCTCCTGGCTGAACTTCGTCCTGAACCTCTTCTTCATCATCATCTCCGGCCGCCGCCCCGCCGCCCCTCCGCCGCCGCCGCCATCCTGCTCGTCAGACTGATCAGAACGCATGGACCCGCCAATGTTGTACGACATTATCATCTGATGACGTGGCGGCGGCGGCACTCCAGAATGGTGATAATGGCCGCCGCCGCCGCCCTGCAGGAAGAGTTTTGGTCTGCTAGGGTTGTTGTAGCAGTTGTTGCACGGTGGTGGTGGGGGGTGGTCGTCGCCGTGGTCGATTTCCTTGCGGTGGAAGTTGCGGTGGCAGGAGCAGGCGGAGCATGTGAGGGCTTCTAGGGTGCCGTCTTCGCCGGCGGGCATGAACTCGCCGCAGCCGTCGTTGGCGGTGCCGCCGATGGAGGCGGCGTGGTTCTTCAAGCACTCTCTGTACCTCACCTGCACCATTGATCTCGATCTCTTCACAACCGGTACACCACCCACAATACTATTATCATCTTCATCATCGTCATGTATGATGGGTACTGATGGGGCATGATGATGTATGGGAGGGATTGAAGCGGCGGCGGCGGCGGCGATGATGATGTATGGTGGTGGTGGTGGTGGTGATGACGTGGCATGTGTACATG